GAGTGTGAGTGTAGGACAAAGTATTCCATTCACCCACACCCACCCACACCCTTACTGCTCACTCAGTATTAACTCGAGATTAATGGAAGTGTCGATAGCAGTCTTACACGTTACAATAGTTTGTCAATATTAGTTATTTGATCGTTATCCGAAAGTTGAGTCATCTGATATCTCCTTTAGCCAGGATGAAACATATAATGATAGCTATAACGCACTTTGTCATCGACAATAACACTTTGTTCTTTGTATATTTGAATACTATTTTTCGCTGAATGACGATAAATTCGCAATGTGTCATTTTGTCGTACTTGTATGTGAATTTTCGGAGAAAAGTTCACAATCTGTTATTTTTCTCAAACTTTTTCCGCGTAAATTTTTTTTGGAGTAAAACAAAATTTATGATAAGATCTATCTATAAATTGATCGAATAATTCGATGCAGTTTAACTAAGTTTCTAGTAAACTCGAAAATTTTAAGTACAAGCAAAATCATGCACAAGCTGTTTTTCTTATTGATAATTATTGGTTGTAAGTACAATACTGACTATATTTCTATCTTATATGACGTGATTGATTACTTTCTCAATTTTTTTACGGAAGGCATTTTAATCGAATCTACCAATGCTATCAAATGTTATTATTGTGACGATCTTATGGGCGTTCCATGTCCATCTGCAGGTCAACCATTTCCATCCGTACGCGATTCCAAACAACCATTTTGCAAAGTATATCTCTCTCTCGACATGTAGTCTATATTGAAAGGAATAATATCTTATTTTTTTGGTAGAAACAGACAATTTATTACGCAAATAACATGTTAGCTAAGCCAAATATGGTTCATAATGATGCCCTTTCATTCGAATGTAACGATTCATCTCCAGTAATATGGGGTGGTTATATCATGTATACAACATGTTGTTCAACTGATTATTGTAATGTTTGAAACAATATTTACTTTTCATTAAACTTGAAAAAGACTGCTTATTAAATAAATATCAAATACACTAAAAACAATACTTATTTTTCACGAAGGATAGTTTGTTCTATTGATGACTAGTTTTTTTTCTCTCAAATTCATTATCTAATACTCGACTTTTGTGATCATACACAAATATGAGTTGTAAGCCATTTGATGATTCTTTCAATCGAGATGGAACATAAAATGTTAGATATAACTAATCACTGTTAAAAAATGTTTCTATTGCCGTCTGGAAGTTTCAACTTCTTGATAACAGTACAGATTGATAGTCTAATGTTTGACTTTCATAATCATACAGACTGTCGAGTATCAAGCCATCTCATGATCTTGAGATTGAAAATACCATTATTGTAATTTCGTCCTTGCTAAAAGCAGTCATCAGATGGCTTAGATCAATGCAGATCTTGTCTGCTATCGATTAAAAAATTCACAACAAGACATATCTACACCGTTACAACATCTTTTGAAAAATAAACGGTGTGAGCTTGAGTGTACATGAATCAATGGAAAACAGATCCATCTATCTTCTAACGAAAAGATGTGCGAATCTACTAATCTTAACTCTTCCTTTTCAGCAATCGATCAAATTGAAATAATTTGTAGTCTATATAACGCGCTAAATCAAATAAAATGTAAGTTTGATTTCTTCGACGCATTTCGTGTAATTTATTAAAACTTGTCAGTGCAGCCCTTCGGTGCTGAAATGTGGAATTCACAATCTCTGACTGTTATGAATTTATCACAAATCATCTAAAGTTTCAAAACAATCTATTAAAATAATATTGAATAAATAAATAAATCAGAATTATAAGAGTGTAGGTATGGGTATCAATGAAGAGAAGGTTAAGACCCATACTCACACCCACACACACTCACACTCACACCCATCTTTTTTTTTACTGTTCTAACATCCATGTGCTATATCACTTCGAAAAAACCAATTGTATTTGTTTTCTTACGTCATTTTTCATGACACATTAAATAAATTTTGCTAAACTTTAAAAAAGAATCACACAAGTGTTTTGCACACATAGGTTAAGATCTTGAGAAAATAAAACATGACTCAGTGTACATAGCTGTAAAGGAACTAAAAATAAAATTATATTTCGCTGGAATACATCCAGTTCTTCGTTAGAAAATACTTTGTGATTAATAACAAAAGCTCTTTATTTCAAGCTTAAAAATAATTGTACTTTTGAGGTTACTACATCATATAATCGAGAGCATTTTCTTTTTTTTTGCGTTCTTTACAACATTACTATATTTATCTATATTACATCAAATTTACATCAAACAAGGAAGTTGTATGTGCGTCATATTTCGGTGATGAAGCCCCAATTTCGCCGAAAAAATTTCTCTAAAGTACTTCCCTTCAACTAAATACTAAATAAATATTAATTAGTTAATAATGTTTTTTTAAAAAATTTACTCATAAGAAAAATGCTTATCAGAGTTAAACTCCTACTGAATTAAATAAAAATATCATCTAACTGGATTTTGAAATGTCACGTTTCATTATTCTCTATAGATTAATTCAGTATAAATTCTACTAGTAGTACTAATCTTAAAAAAAACATTTTTTTTGTGCAGTATATAATATGTATTGACTATACTAGGCTAAAAGCACAATCTCTAAAAATTATTCTGTATTCTGAATTAGATTTTTTGCGATAATCTTTTTCTTCATATTTAGTCTTACGTTTTATGTTAGAATGCAAGTTGAGATTCATAAAAAACACCTAGTCGGAAACTATTTCAGGAATAAAATCTATTGTACAAACTATTCTAGTTCTATGGTTACATCGTTTAAATCATCATAATAGGATCTATTGCAATATAAAGTCAACTTTTGTTATCCAGTAATTTAACAAATAAAACGAGTCGTTTTATTTGTTAAATTACTGGATAACAAAAGTCGATAGGAAACTTTAAAATATACGGACAGATAGAGCAAACATTTCTCTACAAAATGTATGATGAAATAATAATGTACCAATTAAAGCAATGAGATAACAAGCAAATCTTTGACCGGGACCAGAAAACATTTTTTGGTCCCTTACACAACTCTGGTGCCCACATACTCTGGGTACCCCTGTTGAGTGCTCTCCTGTGTTATTTTTAATATAATAAATTAACTGACATTTTTTTTTGGAACATCGACGCAATAATGACGAAACTGTCAACTTATTACTTCCGTTGGATGAAATCATAATTTCGTCGTAGTTTTTGAGAAACTTGTGATTTTGTTGTATTTATGTGATGATGCTGTGAATTCGATATTGGCATTTGTTGAAGTCATTTTTCAAATGTTAAGCAATGAATATTTTATCAATTTGACTATTCTATTGACGTGATCTATGGAATATAATAAATTTCTCTCTAATAAAAATATATGTAGCATAAGATTGTAAAGATGAAATTATCATTTAATCGAGAAGGTAGACTATTAATAATCGACGAAAATTTCACTGTGATATACTAAAAGGTTGCAACTCTTTTTTTTCTTCACACTAATACTGAATATTATTTATTATTAACGAAATACTCTTGTATTAGAGAAAAGTTTTGTTTCAATCATCCATTATTCAAATAAAATAGTTGATTGATAAAGTATTTCTTGAATAAGTGTATTAGAAATGGCTTTGATAAAATACTTTGTAGAATTAATAACTTTATCGACTAATATAATGTTAACATGATATATACATATGACGTCATTAACAAGAATTATTATTTTATCATTATATTTAGTATGAAAAAATAGTCCTTCATTACGATGTTAAATGTATGGTTATCACCGTCGATTTTGTGTAATAAATAACTTATTTAAATACATTTGGATTGATCTACAAGAAGAAACATAAAATAATGATTTTGGTGAATATGATTTGAAATTCGTAAAAAAAAGGAAGCGTTTTTTTTATTAAGCATACTTTTACATTTCGAATTTAAAAAATTTGTGATTATATTTAAGTACAAATTAGAAGTTATTTTGAATAAGATAAAAAAAAAAGAATACAAGTGTCACGGTTTTGTTTAGTCAAACATAATCTTTTTCTATTAAAATAAATAATGATCATAATACTCATCTTCAATAATTAGAGAAAATGAAATCATGATTTTTCTATCTTTGAGAAAAAGCTCGTATGTTTAAATAAGTACAATATAAATATAATAAAAAATAAAAGTGTAGAATAGACATAAAATAATGAACTTATTTGTTACATTTTTTATGACTAAGAAACACAGTCTTCATGAATAGTCTTGAACATTAATTTAAAAGTGTTGTAGACGTATTGTGAATGAAACCTACGTTTATCAATTTTATTTTACTTTCGACGATCGACGTCGGTGCGTATGTGATTGAATAAAAAGGCTTCTATCCAAATCTATATGCTATGCATATGAGTAGTATGTTTTCTTTACTGCGGTGTGGATCGGAAAATATTTAGTTATCAAGAGTGAAACGAACTAGAGTCCATAGTTCATGACTTGCTTGCCATTTTTTCGTTTTAATATCAAAAGACTTCAATAGATGTCGTTTGTAATCGGAATATTTTGTACTTTTTTTTTCATATACATCAGTGGAGTCGAAATAAATAGATATTACTTCAGAACATAATTCTTAGATATTGTCTAATAGTTGTAGCAAGCTAATTTAAATTTTTAGAAACCGAGTCCAAATACATGGAGTTTTTATTACGACTTATTATACATTTTTCAGTCTTTTTGTAAAATAAGTACTGGTATACAAAGAAAGGAATTTTGACAAAAGGTTCTGAATTTATGTAGAAGTCTGTCTATTCTTGAGCTAACGATATCATTCACTAGAGAATGGAGATCGGCATCCAGGTATATCGACTTTCATCGGTCCCAAAAATGATCAGTCCGATGAATCCTAAACGAACAGATATTTTTCATTCATTTTCACTTGTAAAACTACTGTTTGACAGGAAAGATTGTTTTCTTCTGCTCTTCACAAAACCGACATCTTTGGTGTATTCCATTCAATCATTAATAGTCATATTATGTCAAATGATAATCTTTACTTTATCTTTAAAATCAATCTGCAACCACTATATCAAGATGTTCAAATAATCAATTGTTTAAATTTCACATCGAAAAACTATAATATTTCAAAAAAACTTGTTATAGTGGTCGTGGGTGTGGGTGTAAATCTTGTATTCTCGAACACACCCACACCCACACCCACACCCGAATATCTCCATCGGGTTTTGCAAAACGAAAAAGAGCTTTCGATCTTGGCAACGTTTACCGGGTTTCATGTATTGACAAAAAAATGAAAGGGTGTGGGTGGGTGTGGGTGTGGCTGGGTGTGGGTGTGGGGTGGGTGTGGATGTGGGGTGGGTGTGGGTGTGTGGGTGGGTGTGGGGTGTGGGTGTGGGTGTGGGTGGGTGGGATGTGGGTGTGAGTATGGGTGTTGGGTGCGGGTGCGGGTGTAAATGAAGAGGAAAATGATACCCACCCCACGCCCAAACCCACGCCCCAACCCACACCCCACACCCTGTGGGTATAGGTATCGGGATGTGGCCGTGATTCAAAAGAAGACTCTTACATCCACACACATCCCACATCCACCCACACACCAACGACCATACACCAACTCCCGCAAGATTCCCTCATTTTGTTAATATAATTCAAATTCTCATATACATCTGGGTCAATTAATACAATTACCAGCATTATCAACCGTGAAAACTGATTGTGTTTAATCTTGTTAGTTATTACACACGCAGTAATTCTGGAAATGGATGCATTTATATAAAAATAGAAAACAAAAAAGTTACAAAATGAACAAGGAAGAAATAAAGTTCCTTAATAAGATTAAATCTAAGAAAGTCATCGTATTGTTTTCAGTTGACAAAGAAGAAAAGATAGTAACAAGGAGGGAGGGGGATGATTGTTTGTGGATATTTTTGTGAGTATGCTTGTGTAGATAGACGTGGATGTTGGTATAAATCTGGGTGTAGGAATAATAGTCGTCTATACCTGCGCTCATGATCCTCCAAAATTTGTGCAGACTTATTAATTTTCTAGATTTTGCGACGGATTCTTTTATATCTTATGGATATTGCTGATTGTAGACGATGACCGAAATTGCCTATCCACCAACTACTTAAGAACAGTAACTGATTTAGCAAATCCAATGCGTCGTTTGCCAAAATCAAAAGTCGTGTAGTAATGAGTCATAAATATATCACCCAGAATCCATAGAGGATTATCATTCAAGATATCTTGATAGTAAGATTTAATACCAGAATAACAGAAGACACTGTTATTCTTTGATGCATCAATACTAGAATAAACGTATTGAGCAGCAGTCAATACCAGTGATTTGTTCCCAATAATAAAAATGAGGTCAGCCATAGATGATCGATATGAACAATTGACAGAATCATCCTACAATATAGATAAACATTCATTGTGATCGATCAATTTATTATTATAGTGATAGTTACCGTTGGATTATAATGAGGAATTGACCGGAGAAGACGGTAAACATCTGAAGATGGTCCAATAATATATGTTGTACCAGAGTCGATAATTGCTGTACAGCCGCCATTACATAAATTCAATCTACCTGCCTTAATGCTAGACAAAAGGAAACAGAGTTTTTTAAAACATACTTGAACTTGGTAATTACGTGCTCACCCATTCAATTGGATTTGCCATGATTGTTGTCTCTGTTTGGTTACATTAGCATAAATCATTTCACCTTCAAAGAGTTGAGAGTCAACACCGCCGAAATAAATCTCTCCACCTCTTGCATGTTTTAGATTGCTAAATTAAGTCTATTTTTTCACAATTGTGATCAGAAAATAATAATTCATACGGATCAAGCCAAAATGAAACGATAGGTTGATCGATAAGTCTTTGATGCCAAAGATTGAAAACAATTGGCGTCATATGTCCTTCAGATAGCGAATAAAATCCTAGACCTAATGAAGCAATATTTTCTAAATGACTTCACATTTGAATAGAAAAGGTTCAATACTTACCGCAGATACCATCGTATGTAAAATTGCTCGAATCTTGTAAAAAAGTGATCTGAGCAAAGTGTTGACGTTCAAGCATGAGACCATTTATCTATTCAGACAAATAGAAGTTTGAATAACAACAGTAAGTGTAAAAGAAACTTCCATTTGCGTAAGAAATTTATATAGTTTCACTAGAAAGATTTGAAAGAAGTACAAAAAAAGAATATTCTCACGTACGGAAACATTATCAACACCCATGAAACCTGATACGCTTGTTCCATCTCCGTATCGTATCGAAAACATGTTATGATTTGGAAGACGTCTGAAAGTCGATGATTTCGATGCATCAAATTTATCAACGAATTCTATTTACCAGAGAAGAGCAAAATATTTAAGTTTTCATATTAGTATAACAGAAAAATGACATACTAGCACAGTTTCCTGTGTTACAATTTGTAGATGATACCCAGAAATCTGAACTACCTGTATCAAAAAGCATTTTGAAACATTGTGCAGGTGTACCGATGCACACATCTCCGAGCCAATAAATCTGCATAAAATCGAAATTTATTTAGATGTATTTGTCAGTAAAATTAGCTCACGTTTCTATAATTGATCATATTCTCAGCAATCACTTGCCTAGTTTTACTTATTTGTTGATGATAGACTTTGAACAAAAATGATCTGAACATATTGCATTTATTTTATTGCTAGATAAAATTAAGAAGACGTTAAACTTACTGACTGCGGGATTCTACATTTGGTAAAAAATACTTGCTGTCAAGAAGCAGTAAACCATATACAAATAAAATCAATTTCATGATAGTGAGTATAAGCAAATAAAAATGTGCTCACAATTGATCAAAACTTCATATATAACAATTCGTATTTTATCAAAGTCATGCAAGTACACATCTGTTGAATTTATTTTTCGAAGAAAGTGAAAAAAATATTCCAACATAATTTCCAACAAAGAGTAATATAATGTTACGTTGGAAGGAACGAAAAATTGACAACATGTGTTACTCAACTTCTATTTATTTTGATTGTAATAGAGTGTGAGTGTGGGTGTTGAAATTTTTCTCGAATGCAGTAGGCATATGGACAAAAAAATTCCAACTTGTCTTCCATACTTTTTCTAGAAGTATTTTATTGTCGATTTTTATTTTATACCATCGGCAAATGATCGAAGAAGATGTTTGAATAAAATTGGCCACAGGAAAGAAAGACACAAGTCTTTTTTTACTATTATATGTGAAGAACAAATAACTGAAGTCATCTATCCTCGTCGAACATACAAGTATTATTCTCTTGATAATTTGTACATTCTTCATTTTTCATCGTTTACATCTTTGAAAAATATATCTGACAACTCTTTACAATTCTTAGTGGAAATATTTAAGTAAAGACATAACTGATGTAATGGAGAATGAAAATGTTTTGATTTTATACAATCGACAATACATCTTTGGTTAAACAATGAAATCATAGTTTCTGTTTATCGTTGAATATTGTTAAGTAAAAATAATTTTGATTGTTTTCAACAAATTTTTTCCACATATACCGCTGTAATATGTACAACAGTTATTCTAGATAAACTATAACCATGATGAAGGGAAGTCTTCTTCTTAATGCTGAGTCTGAAGAATTAATATCTGCAGTAAGATTGGAATCTGTTTGCGATTCGGTGATAGCCACACATTACTATTGTGAAAATCGTCCAGCTATCTTGTTCGTGACAACAGAGCAAAGTAAGAAAGTATTTTAGTGTCAATCATTGTATTTTTAAGTGTTTCCAGATGACGATCAATCCCAAGGTCCAGTTAGACAACCGAAATATTCTTTGAAGTCTCCACAGGAATCAAAAAATTATAGGTTTGATGGATTCACTAAGAAAAATTGTAATGATTGTGTTCCATGTATCAAAAAAGAACATTGTCGATATCAATTATGTGTCTTATTCACGATTCTATTAGCTATTCTAATTTTTCTATTTGGATTTAGCCTCGGCCTGATATTTCGTCATCATTCTAGTAAGTATTTATACATATTGTCTAATCTATTCTCAATCTTGATATAGGATAGTAGATTGTATATATGACTCCTGTGACGTCGAACTCAGAGTTATGATCAGTAGGATTTTTGTGCATCGCTACCGGTCAGACTAAACAAGATTAGACAGTAGGCTGATATGAGTTATTTTTCATTTTTTCAATTTTATATCATTCACATCTATCTTGATTAGTCATATATATATATATATAAATTGAGATTGGAATATCATTTTTCTAATTGTTTAATAAGAAATTCAGTTAATTTATAAAACTACCAATACTTTTATTTCAGTTACTATTTTATTTTATTTTATTTTATTTTTCTTTCTGTAATGAATATTACATTTTAAATAATGGAGATATTGAATGATTAGTTAAGTTTGATTAAAAAATAATTATTTTATTATTCAGAAATCTTTTTTCTTGGATGACTATAAATTTTTCTGACGATTTTTCTGACTATGAGATCATGATAACGTGTAATTTGGTAAATTTTATCAAGAAGAAAATTTTTTTTATCTTCTCTTTAACAACGAAGATTAATTCTAATATGACTCATAAAACCATAGAAACAGAATACATCAAAACACAAAAATATTTGCTTTATTTTTTACCAGTAGAACGAAATTATATATTAAAATATATTTTGTTAAATGTATTTAATATGAATTTATTCGCAAATGTTTTTTTTTAAATAAAATTCATCATGCCCCTCGTCAAAGCTTTATGAATAAAACAATTTTTTTTTTGGTTCTTTAAGAATAAGATTGATTAAAATATGTCTCATAAGAACAAAAAACAGTATAGAAAAAAAGAAAATATCAAAAAAAGTTCTATACTTTGTTTTTTATTGGCAACACGAAAAAAAAAACAAAAGTTAATTTATTTTGCGAAACGCATTTAATATGAATTTATTCACAGACGACTACTTAAATGAAAATTTTTGCTTTGTTGCCGATCAATACTTAAAAATAAAAAAAACACTTTTGAATCTTTGTGTTGTTCTTTTCTTTTTCACTTATTTTGCGCATTTCAATTTCAACTGAAATTCTCATGTCAACTGTGGCACATATTTATGAATCAATACTGTAATTATGTAAGATTCTTCTTTCATTATTACAATGGTGTTGTGAAACATGCTTGTGCATGAGCGCTGAATTATGTAACCAGAAAATTGAATCCATTCCTATCCACGATCTCGAGTAACTTGCCGATATTTTTTTAACTTATTGATATTTTATGACAAAGATGTTGATATGTCTGCTACGATCTATAACTATCTAGTCGGTTTTCCGACATGTTACTTTTTGGTCCTGTCATGATTTGCTATCTAAATAATGAGATTTCTCATAATATTTAAAGTAGCTCCATCGTGTTTAATATTATGGGAACAGTTCACGATAAAAAAAAAAGCTTTCAACATAATACGTGCGTAATTAAAATATTATTTGTCCACCAATTAAATGTTCATCAAACATAAAAATGATGACTAAAACCTATATGTATTCTACTTGTCAAAATAGATTTACTTTGTTGTCTATGATGCTTTTTTGCAACATATGTTATAAATAAATACAAAATGAAAATAAATGATATGAGTTACAATGACAAAGAATGATTTCATTTTGTTTCGATAAAATAACTTGATATAGACGTGAGTTTATGCAAAATACGGAAAGTCTTTTGATGATCATCCACTAAGTACAAATATTCCCTCATAGAAGTTATCATTTACATCAGTGAAAAAAAGATTGATTCGCAGAAAAAAGCACCTTGATGATCAATTTTTTGAGAAACAAAACATCCAAATATCGAAAGAAATTCTATACTAGTCCGTAACGAAACAGTTGTATCCACTAGTAGGAAAGGAATCCTTCACCGGACTGGGCCCATCATTTACTCCTATCAGTTTCATCTCTACTCAAGTCTGATGTGGAAACATTTCCATTCCATTTGGATCTCATTCAGCCTTTCTTTCAGATTTAATATCATTTAAGATACATACAAATGATGTTTTCGTTAGATCTGTTCGTAGAAATATCATCGAAAATCATTTCAATATATATATTTCACTAAATCATAATGAAAAACTTTATTTTTCATTGATTAGGGCTATCATTATTTGTACAATCAAAATATGCATCGATGTGGATTAATAATAGTTCGAAGTATAGCCGTATCAATAGTTCAGTCTCTGACTATTATCATGAAGCGTTTGAAGTGAATGTTGTTGTGGCATCGAATTATAGTTTCTCTACTGAAAGTAATATTAGTACCTGTGGTTATATTTACAATGACAGCTTTCATCCATCTAATCCTTCGCTCAATTTACTCTCAGAAAACGATAATGTTTGCAAAAATGGACAATTCAAGTTGACAGTTTTTCTACAACCATGGAGAAGGTATATTTTGGTTGTTACAACTTTCTCTGTGAACAAGACAGGCGAATTTTTGGTTGTTGTAGATGGCCCTACAACAGTTGGTTTTCGTCGTATTAGTAAGTAGAACATCTAACCGACCGGTTACATCTTCGTCTTTTTTTTTCTTCTTCGCCAGACTCTTATTCCAAAGTCAGCATGTGTCTAAGCTCGTAGAATTAAAATTTTTGTCGTATCCTTAAAACATTTTGATGAATTATCATTAGAGAATTTGAATATTTCCTACATATTTAATATTGTTAGTTGACATAAGAAAATGCAGAACTCATTCTAATCAATTATCATTTACGTGAGTTTTAGAGTCGAAAAAAAATTTTGTAGCTTTTATCAAGGCATTCAAAACTCTATAAATGCAACACTCAGAGTTCTCAAGGCAAATTTTCTCAGTAGTGAATAAGATTTTCATCAATGAATAACAATGGTAAAGGTAAATTTCTTATACTTGATAGAAAAATATCATAATGTTATCTACCACTTTACATTTGTGGATTGTAAGAATATTTGTTTTTCATAAAACCATAGTAATTCCACCTCTCCACCAAACGATATATTCATCAGAACTGACGGTGCACCATCAAGCATATTGTCGCGATAGATGTTTCACGCCAGAAAATCAATATGATTTCGACGAAGACTACTACTATGAAACAATCTTGGTGAATGTGAATGTAGCAGATGATTTTACTATAATAACCCAAAGTAGTATTGATGTATATGGCTATATATACGAAAATAGCTTTGATCCATCCGATAAATTGCTAAATTTACTGATGGAAGATGACAACAGCGGTGGTCATGAGCAATTTAAGTTAACACCTTTTCTTCAACCTTCAACCATTTACATTTTAGTCATCACTACTTTCTCTTCGAATGTTATCGGAAATTTCTCAGTTATAGCAAGTGGTTCTTCAATTATAAATCTTACTCGATTATCATCTCATTGGCCAAGTATCGAAACAAGTAAGACATCGACGTTTGCGAAAGTAATAATATTTGATTTAAGTTATGGACATAACTCATTTTCGTCGACCTGAGAAATAGCGTTTTCAAATAAGACAATTTCATCTTCGAAACTTCTATCAAAGTTCTAAATAACAAAATTGTGAGAAATGAATTTAGAGCTTGTCC